GAATTTAATTAAAAATTTCAAGTATTAATAAATTAAAAAGATATTTTTTATAATATTTATATAAGTAGAGATTATTCTGTTTGGCATTGCATATAACTAAAAAAAACTTGGTATTCTTGAAGCCTAATGAATTTGGAGCTATTTTAAAAGAAGAAAAATCCATATCAAAAATCCATACAGTAATATTAAATTTATAACCCACGAACGCGTGTTCCATAAAAAATATTAATATATTCTATGTATATATTATATATACAGCTGTAAAGGGCAAATACATGTTTGATGGCTTAAAATCGGGTGAACGAGCACGAACGATTACAAACGAATATCAGCGAACGAGCTTGAAAAGATATTAATTATTAATGTATATTTTATTTTTTTAAATTATTTTCTATAAAATTAACAAAACGTATAAAATAAATTTTTATGGAATTATAAATTAAATGATGCTCTCTCTTCTTCTACTGATATTCGCTAATATTCGGTGATTGTTCATATTTTTTCTCTTGGTCTGGATCTGGCTTACAATTATATAACCTATATTTTTAAAAGATATTATTAAAAGATACTAGATTAGACTGAATCTTTCAAATAGTACAGATAAATAATTTCTGATTAAAGCGTAGAGAGCTGCATTTATGTAAATCGCGAAATCATAGCTGCGCCTCGTTAATATATCGAAATCATAGTTAGGACATAACTCTATGAAATAGATTTCACAACACCCGGGGAACCAATCGGTCGCTGGCGGCGGATCGATAGGATCCACCACCACTTGCATCTAGTATAATAATCTAGCGATACACAATGGCGCCAATTAATCACGCGCATGACCTCCGCATAAAATCGGGAAAAAGATCCTAATGACCGTCGATCATAAACGACCGATATATAACGGATCTACCTCTCTTTCCCCGCGTGCTTTCCAATCTTTTCGCATGTGTGTGCGTTCACACGTGCCGTTTGTGTGTGTGTGTGTGTGTGTGTGAGTATGCGAAACGCATCCTCCTATCAACGAGAACCTGAGTGTGTCGCAATCGCTAATGGCCTGGCGGGGTTGGATGGTCCAGTGATTAATTGTGTCACCCATGATTACATTACGGACGCGCGCTGCGGATCCACTATATTATATACGGCCGTATACGTGCGTGTAGCGGGCGGATTGCATGTTTGCACGAGGAAACGCGCGTGTACGTGCCTGTAACAAGTCGACCAGGCCGCGGGAAACGTGCGTCCCGGCGGAAACGTCCTGCCCGCTAATCTGCAATCGCAAGGTGTACCCCGATGACGCATGCGAAGAAACGCTTTGCTAATGCTCGCTGTTGTGCGATATCACGAGCTTTCCGTTTCCGTATGCGTATTTATGCACTCGTGATGCCGTCGGCTCGTTGATATTCGCAACCGTCTGAGAACGCTCTCGCACGCACGTATGTACTTCGCAGTCCATAATCTATACATATGATACTATACTATCGGTGTAGTTCGTGAGTAGCATATGAAACGGAGAGAGTTTCCTTATTTAAATGTCAAACGAAAATCTTCTGAAAGAATATTTTTCATGTGTGTGCGTACATTGTACGTAATAGGAAATAAAGATCTCTCCGTGAATTAAGGGATGCACATAAATAATTTTCATTCTTTATTCAATTTTGAAAAAAACTAAGAATATTTCTAATCTTAAGCTTTAAATTAAAAATCAAAAAGTTTTATATATATATAACTTTTTTGTTTAAGATATTATTTTATACGGATTATTTTCTCATACATAAATAAAAAATTTTTCTTCATACGGTAGTCGCGAATCATTTTGTATGATTTTCAAAGCTAGGCAATAATTATCTTTATGTTTTAAACTCTGTAAAAGGGCTGATGATAAAAATAATGGGAGATGAGATTTCTTACATTTAGCGAAACTGTCATTTCTTCTCTGATAAGATTCGTCATTTTTAACTCCATTTCCTAAAATCATCCGAAAGAATTATATATTTGCCATCCTTTTATTTTATATCGGTATTTAAATGTTCAACGTTTTCGGTCTTAGACTACCTCGGCGAAAGTTGCACACGTGCACAGACTTATCGGGGAATTAGACTTGGAGGTGAAGGTTTGGGGATTCTCGCGCGAAGATGAAATCGGCCCGGTATCATCGCAGTATTAAAGTTTCGCGACGTCTCTAACAGTTGTTCCACTTTTAAACGCAAGTATAATTTCTGTTATCTCCAACTGGCGTGCTGTGCACCACACGCCACACGATGCCGCGAAATATAAAATAATAAAAGGGCACGACGAACGGGGCGGGACGACAGGAACTTTGGCCATTACGTCGAAACAGTTTGGCGCTAACGCGTCTTCAACTTTTAACTGCCCAGTCTCATATTTTGTATCCATTTCGCTATTTCTTGCAATTTAGACGGCTGAATCTCGCAATTTTAGGCAAATTTTATACATTGAAATTTCGATGAGATCACTTTGAAATATCAAGATTGGATTTTTGAAACAAAATCCAGAGCACCGAGAGTATCTTTTTTCCTCCGTCATTTAGTAATTATGTAGTATTTAGTGGCTTAATTACATTTAACTTGCGACCCCCTTTCGCCGGTAATATTTGTTTTAGTTTACCGCCACCCAGCCATTTGGCTACTAATCCTCTTAGTTGCTTCCTATCTGGCGCACCGGTATGCGGCTTTTGTATTTTGATTTCTACATGTACACCACAATTAAGTTGTTGCTAAACATACTGAAGAGAAATATATTTTTTATCTACTAAAAACTACAAAATATAATGAACATATATTTGAAGAAAAACGGATTTTCTTCTATTTTTATTATATAATTATAAAAAAATATTATATACATATTAGATATTATATATTAGAAAGAAGCATTACATAACTCATTTTATACACGACACGTTCTTTTCAAGTTGTATTTCCAGGGAGATTATTTATTTCATTTTTAAATTTTCTAAAAAAAATCATGATTTTTCAAACTAATACTTTCTCAAAAAAAGAAAGAAGAAAAATAACGCAATTATTGCGCTGTGATGGGGAGTTTAATGTCAGTTTAACATAAAAGCTTCTCTAAACAGGTCTTCCATTGTTATTTGGGATGGTAGTATCGACGAAAGAAGCAGCCGCTTAAAAATTGCAAATTTGCTGTCCAATGACACGTAATGCCTTCCTTTCGATCTGAGACGAGGAAAACAGACACGCAAGGTTACCGTGAAAGATCGGGCGGGATTCATTCGTAAGGACGAATAATTTCGCACGGATAACACCTACCGGATCGCGCTTGGCTACGAGCCCAAAATCATTTCGATAGGATCGAAATCTATTTCCGACTGGCCCTCTACTTTCGCGTTTTTTCATTCGATATTTGTCCATTTATACTACTTACTACTCGCCAGTATTTGTATATTTTCGTAGCCTTTCCTCCTTTTTTTCGTAAAAATGTCTCCGGACGTGAAGCATAAAGCGAATAGTTTTATGAGCTGTAACGAGTAGACGCTATCGCGGTACATTTCCTAGAAGTGCGACGCCCGCATTGTTCCTCGCTCTGCGATTTCTGCTGCTGATCATCGCAGACTCGCCCCGACCGACAATGGTAAGGACTTCAACTATGACTCTTTTTAAAGGACTCTTTTTGCCGGGGTACCTCTTTTTTACTCTCGACTCGAGGAAAACATAAAAAAATTGTTTGTTTCAAAGAAACATTTACAAATGCTTTCTTCGACCTTAATGAGCTTTGCACATGTTGTAGAGCAGCTTAATATGTATAAAAGATGCGTACTATTTTTTACATATGCATGAATATAGATTTAGAAACAGGATTAAAATTATGACAGTTGAAACAATTTTGTAAAATATATTTTTTTACAGAAAGATTCTAATTAAAAGAATTTGTGCACGATATTTTTAATTTTGTAATATTATTGTTTGTATGAAATTTATTCGTATGTATTTATTATTTCGGGGACTATTATTCAATAATTTTTCGTTATATGATAACGTAAAATTTAACATTTTTACTATATATTATCGATTACTGTTATTGACATTAGTTATTTTATGCCTTGATATGTCTTTTCTATTTTTCGGATGAATTAAAAGTAATTTTATGGAGCGTTATGTTTTACGATTATATTAGTCAATGAAAAACCATGCAAATTATTTTTTTTATTTTTCGTTTAGCATACTTTCCGTGTTGCAAATAGATAAGATCAAAGAGATTTTTCAACAATAATATGAAAAACAACATTTGTGCGACATAGTATCATTTTCCGGATGATGTTTCATAAAAGGCGTGGTTACGGGTACAATATTTCGTGGAATCATTTGACCGGTAGCTTTACGGGAACCAGTCGATCGTAAAAAGGG